TAAATATACAGGGTGTCCCACATCAAATTAGACCGCGTCAATGGGTCTAAATTACGATTTGGGGGACAAATCAGAAAATTTAAGAAGAATGAACCATTTTAAAAATTTTAATAAGGCTAATAGAAAATTTTGTTGGCAGAAAATGCTAGATATTTAGCGTATTATGTGCGTATTTTGGCGTTAAAAATTGTTGATAATCTAATATGATATGGGACGCTCTGTACATCAGACAAATATTTCTTATTCAAATGAAGTACTAATTCAAGATACAAAGAAGGTAGACCACATTTTGGTAAGCCCCTAAAGGGAGTATTGCGAAAAATGAAAGGGGGTATAGGCATACTGCCAGGGGTTGATACAGGATTTAAGTGCGGTGGTGCTAGATTTATTTTGGAACAAAAACATCCAGATTTAGGAACAATTTTTTTACGATATATATTTTTCCCGTTTTGCACAAGGTTTTCCTTTCCCTTTAGTGCTATTGAGGAGCTATTCTGAAATTCAGGGGGGTGCGAAGGTCCTCCCCCCCCCCTCAGGGGGGTGCATCCACCCAAATTGAGATAGAGTTGCAAACCAAGACTCTGATCGTAAAAGAATTAATTTAATTTCAAATATATATATAAAGAGTATATAAAAGGGCGTCAAACCTTATAGAAATCCAACGTATAGAAACAGCAACGTATATATGGGGTAAATTCCAGGAGAATTTTTTTTTGTGTTTTTGTGAATTAAACGTTTTTTTTTAAATATTGTAGCTTATCATTATCATTTTCATAATTTCTATTTTTTTAACATACCCCAGACATGAAAGGAGCAAAATATTTTAATATGTACATTTGTACTGCTCTCTATTGTGTTTAAGGTCCCACAGATTTTATTATGTACTGACAACATGATAAGTGAATGATTATATGGTTATACATAAATTTGCATGTTACTATTTAAAAAAATGTTTTATAAAAATGCTATCTACAGTTTTATTTTTAGCAAAAAAAAATTTCTCAAAACTATTAAAAAGTTCTCCAGTAATGCGAATATGATTTCATAGAATTCCATTTTACCATTTAAATGAAAGGATTTTATGAAATTATATCTACTTTACACTGATTACTTAATTTCTCAAAAATATAAGAAATGTTCTCCCGGAAAATATGCCTTGTTGCTATACGTAGCTGTTTCTATACGTTGGATTGCTATAAGGTTTGACGCCATATAAAAGATCTATACAGTGAAACCCTTAATAACGAATACATCGAAAGAATTATTCTTCAAATGTCGTATTCTTCACTTTCTGAGAATGGAATGTTGCAGATATTTAGTTTTTTAATTAAATGATTATATGGAACTCTTTAAAAATGTCCCCGCATATTCATGGCTAGTTATTTAAAGGGGTCTTTATACGATGGCCTGGGGTTCTCTACCCCCCCCCCCCAAAGCCCATGTCCGAAAAGCCCCTTTAAATTTCGATTCTAATAATTTTACCCAGAAGACGATAGTACATATCCTCTTTTGCAAATACAAATACAAACAATTAACACAGAAGACGATATTACATATCCTCTTTTGCAAATACAAATACAAACAATCAAATGATTTAATATCTTTACTACACTTTAAGCTCAATCACCACTTTTAGTTGGTCTCTTCCTTTAATATTTTAACCACACTATTGCTTGGAAACGCAGCTTTGCTTGGCAAGTTTTCCCTGTAAAAATTCACCAATCCAACTTAGAACTTTAAACCAAGCTAAGAACATTCCCGCATGGTTTTATAACATAGTTCCTGGATCGAAATTTGAGGCAAATCGGTCACGGTGTTTAAGAGTTAAGATTGAATTTACTAACAAAAAACATGATAAATAGTAGGGTGTGAATTTGTGTGTGTGTACAACGTAACTAGCCAAGTCTAACACTAAGAGCAAAGTAACATTTTTAATATTGCCCTCTGGAGATCAAAGGATAGGAGGCATATCGTTCAAATCAACTGTTACAAGTTACAACGCATGGGATCCAAGTCGTTTTCTATCAAGTGTTTGATATTTCTGAAATTCCGCGGGCAACGCTGCGCCTGGTATTTCAGCTAGTTCATAATTAGAATGTTATACTTTAAAGAACTATATGAGAAGGAATAAAAACTATTGGTTTATAAAGTTTTTATGGTTTATCTACAGTGTGTCCCAGGAACATCAGATAAAACTTTTATGGGTCGCGATCAAGAGCTAAAGTGATAAGCTTTCAGTCTATACCCCCTTTCATTTTTCCTTTACAGTCCCTTTTAACATATTTTAATTTGATATCAATTTTACTATGATTTGACTGCCATATAATATTTTTAACTATGTATTTTGGTATCAAGCAAGTTAACAAATTATGGAAGAAGACATTTTAAACTATTCACAAACTGTCATGTTTCGTGGGACACCCTGTATCCCAAGGTACTAATGTAAGGAAAGTTAATTGCAGTCGCGTATATTCTGCGTTCATATTGAAACCAGTTCTCTCCGGGCGAAATTTGTAAACAAGAATAGATGCATCCAAAGAGCTTTGTAATATAAAGAGTGGGCATTGGGATTTATAAACAAAACCACACGCCTCAATTGGGTTCAAGAAGAAGCCAAAGAATGTCGTCTTTTCTATAATTTAAAAAGATTTTAGGACTTTTTAAGCATTTCCATCACTATAAACTTGCGTTTTTACATAAATTGCCATCAGAAATGCATAACTTTATTATCTTTTTACATAAACTTTATTTTAAAACAGCACTGCAATGTAATTGGTTTAAAAAATTTGGCTACTTAAAACCTAGGTTTTTTCGGGCTTTGCTCACGTGTTACTGGCCTAAAATTCTGCTTTAGACTATAACAAAACTATACTTAATGACATTCTAACAAATTTTGTTTCAAAATATGTGGTATTTTTCATACAAATGAGATGCGTAACAAAATCACAAGTTTAGCTTTATTTTAACAGGAGAGCATCCTATCCTATGACCGAGAAAAACAAATTTAGAAGTCTATAACCGTGTCATTATTTTCCCACCATTTTTAGCAATTACAATAATTTATTTATTTGATAACTAGAGTTTTAATGTTGATTGTTTGAATTTAAAACCAATACTGCAGCCAATGACGTCATATGAAAGTGTACAGAGCGTACACACTATTCGGATAAATTCCTAATGCCCTATCTTTTACCATTCTACCGTCTTTGGATGCATCAGTGTTCGTCTAGTATCCTAGGAGGAGAAAAGTATTTTATTTTGATAATTTTGAAAATTCACATAATAGTTCCCTATGACCAGAATATTTCTTAGGTTACTTTTGTGAAAATGGATTCAATGTCAGGCTGTGAAATCCGTCTTGTGTTTACTTTTTCGCCCAAAGACAGCATACTACAGTACAAAAAATGCGTACACCTCTGAAATAGTACCTTGCTGTATCCTAAATATGTCTTTTGAATCAAAGTCAACTGTGTGAAGTCGATATATGAATAATATGACCTTATTAGTAAAACCTTAATTCCGGGGTTCTATACAACTTAATCTGGATTAGTAAAACCTTAATTTCGGGGTTCTATACAACTTAATCTGGGTTAGTAAAACCTTAATTCCGGGGTTCTATACAATTTAATCTGGATTAGTAAAACCTTAATTCCGGGGTTCTATACAATTTAATCTGGGTTAACCAAAATAGATGGATGAGTCACGTCAAATTAAAGTAAATTTCATGTTAGAATGAAATTATGCATGTTGCTCCGTTATAACTCTTGCTTTTTGAAGAAATATTAAGAATAACGAATAAGTTTTGTATTTCTAACATCCAATCATGATTAAACTTGCTTTTCCCACAGCTGGGAATAAAAAAGAAGCTACGCGGTCACAAAGTTGTACCAGTAATTTTGCAATTGTAAGTTTCCATATGTTCATACTCTAAATAATAGATTGGAGTGCGAACCAGAAGTGAAAGGTAGCTAGTTAAATTAATATTTATTTATATTAATAGTTATATTTTGTCATGACAAAATACCCTGTATAATTGCCTACACATGTCTATCCATAAATCTATAAAGAGGTTAGATACAAGTTCTAAAAATAGTTTTAATACATTCTAATTAATCTATTAGTTGATGTAGTTTAACAAGAAATAGATGAATTAATGAGCGTTCATGTTGAACAGAAGCTTTAATTAATCTTATACAATATACAACACAGACACTAGGGGTATTTATTCATCCTTTCATTCATTTATTCATTCTTTCTTCTATCCGTTCTTCCTCTAATCCATAAATCCTTTCATTCTTCTATTCATTCTTTCTTCTATCCATTCTTCCTCTAATCCATAAATCCTTTCATTCTTCTATTCATTCTTTTTTCCTTTCTTGCATCCTTCCTTCCTCCAACCCATTCATCCTTTCATTCACCTATCCATCCTTATATTCATCTTATTCATCATTTCATTATAAACATAGAAATATGACAGTGCTCAACAGTGCGTCTTTTTTCTTCGACAATTTGCCTCTGATTACTCAGGGTTACCCACAAAGGATGAAAGACGACTTTCAGCTCTAAAAATATGACAATTTCAAGGTTGATTGATGTCTTCTTTCCTGATATTGTTATTAAATGGTTTTTTTATGATTGATTTGGCAAGAAAGAAACGAGTTTAAGGTTGTAGGGAATTCATAAATGTATGAAAACAGACAGTATAAATTTCGTACAGTCGTCTCCATGAAGTCTCATTATTTGTGGGTAACCCTATTATATAGAATTGAAAGGAATTCATGCAATTTTATAAAACTGCTAGAAATTACTTTTGAGGGCAAAAGGCAAAGTAAGATTTAAAAAATAAAGAAAAATCTAAAATTTTGTAATGAACAGATCGCATTGTACAATCTTTTATTTGCCAAACCAAAGTACAGTACGGTTCAGATTTGTTTTTCATTGAACAATGAAGTTTTATTTGCAAGATTAGAATGAGAAGAGACACGAGACTGAGAAAAAAATCAGAGATAATTTCAATTTATTATGCAAAATATGAATGAAGAGAATGTGATAAAGGAAAAATGTTTTCAGAATTATTGTAGAATATCCTAAGAAATCAACAATAAAGTTAAGGTATGATTCTAGAATATTCAATGGGATAAGCATCTTGGTTTTTACTGGTCTACTGAATCAGCTGATGAGTAAAGTTAAAATGGCTACCAACATGGCTCTAGAATATTCTATGGAATCAGCTGATAAATAAAGTTAAGATGGTTACCAGCATGATTCTAGAATATTCTACTGAATCAGCTGATGAATAAGTGAAGAGGGTTGTCAGAATGATTCTAGAATATTCTACTAAATCAGCTGATAAATACAACTAAGAGGGCTTGCAACTTGCAAGAATGATTCTAGCATATTCTAATGATGAATAAAGTTAAGAAGGCTACCAGCATGATTCTAGAATATTCTACTGCATTAGCTGATGAATAACCCTCAGTCCAAGGGCACTGGAGAAGAATACTGTGTTCTTTACTCTTCGCTACATACCTCTCAAGCCTTAATGAACACAGTTATTAGGTAAACCCCTCAAAGTGCCCTCAATTGAACAACATTTTTAATAAATTTTTAAGAAGAAGAAAAGTTCATTTTACGGAAAGCAATAAATATTGATAATAATCATAAAATATATGTTATTGTTGTCTATACAAGTATTATTGTAAACAAAAATTAGTTTTTTAACAATTGACTTATGTTTACCTGCCATTAACTTTTACATTCTGATAGAAATTTACATTTATATTGTACAGTATAGAATCCTGACAGGGTAGAGATAGTGTACTTCTCTCGTCAGAATAGACAACAGGAACCTATGCAGTGTACTGTACATACATGCACAGTGTACAGTGTATTTACATACATGTACACTGTAGAGTTTATTTACATACCTGTACATTGTACAATATATTTACATACCTGCACACTGTGCAGTATATTACATACATGTAAATGTGCAGTGTTAAGAAATGATAAAATAAGATACAATCAGAACCAGAAAACTCTGGCATAAAAAGACGACTTTTTGACCAAAGTTATGACTTTAAATTGTACTATGAGCATGGGACACACCAATTGTGCAGTTTAAACAAACTCATTTCACTTTCATAAATGATTTAAAAACTTTATATTAAAACTATTTGCGTTGGAATAATATCAAATACACCTAAATATTTCTTCAATGTCGTCCTCTTTTTCCACAATTTTCTGGTTCTCACTGTATATATAGATATATATATATATAAAATAGAATAATTGATAAATTTCAAAGCGAGAGTTAAATTTTATCAGTAAAATTAATTTTATCTTAAATCCTATAGTGCTGTGTTTAAGCCTAAAGAAAATAACTAATGATAGTTCAGATTATCAATAGCTCTAATAAAATAATAAATCTAAGAAAAATATGACAATTTGTGTACTTCTGATTGTTTAGCTTCGCCACATAGAATCTCACAAAACTTCAATGTTAGTGAAAAGCTATCAAAATGCATTTATGGATAGGCCAAAAAATTTATATTTTTATATTGACAAATCAAAAATGCTCGGATAGAATTTCTTTTAAATACCTTTATTTTTTTAACAGTGTCACTGATCGCTCCAACTACAAGCCTAGAAACTACTATTTCTCCTGTAGAGATACAGACAGAGTTTATTAAGCTTGCAGACCAATCAACTTCAATTCCCTGCGCAATGAAAATCAAAGCAGAAAGTCGAGTAATATTTTGGTTCAGGGTTTCCATTTTTTGTCAGCTCAATCTGGACCGGCAAAGGCCTAATGGAACCTTTCCACACTAAACTAAGCTAGTGGGGCAAGTCAAATAGGCGTATGTTAGGCTGGGTACTGTAAAAAGATTCAGACTGCACTTATAAACAGTCTCATCAATTTTTAAGACATGGTTGACTATGAAGCGTTGCAACGCCTTGGCTTTGATTTTACTGCTCTAACTCACTTATGCTTTTCTGTAGCCCTTTAGATGTACATTTTAACACTATAAAGCACTTGTTAATAGCTTTAGTTTTTATGAAGTAATTGGTAAAATTCTCATCGATTTGTGCTTGAGAGCTTGAGACCTTTATATCACAGTGGTTGCAGCAAAGTTGATAGGGTCGGGCCTTAACTTAGGCCGGTACAAGGGGTCGTTCCGGTACTTGCTGCACGTCACTAAGGCCGGTACAAGGGGTTGTTCCGGTACTTGCTGCACGTCAAGAAGGCCGGTACAAGGGGTCGTTCCGTTACTTGCTGCACGTCACTAAGGCCGGTACAAGGGGTCATTCCGGTACTTGCTGCACATCACTAAGGCTGGTACAAGGGGTCGTTCTGCACATCACTAAGGCTGGTACAAGGGGTCGTTCTGGTACTTGCTGCACGTCACTAAGGCCGGTACAAGGGGTCGTTCTGGTACTTGCTGCACGTCACTTAGGCCGGTACAAGAGGTCGGTCCGGTACTTGCTGCGCGTCACTTAGGCCAGTACAAGGGGCTGGTTCAGTTCGGAATCAAATTGACCGTAGTCCACAGTGTTACATGTATCTTTCAATCATGATAAAACATTATAAACTTTTTACAAATTGAAGGTGGAACCTTTCTTTACTACTTTTAATATAAATCTACCCCCTAAGAGGCTACACAAAGCTAGGTGTGACATGCTGAAAAGATTAAAGGACGACAATTCCATAAGGAATTGATTCGGAATTATCCGTAAACTGGGTCAGTATGGCATACGTCGCTCCATGTAGAATCTAGATTTGGGGGTATATTAATTATTAATTCAGTTAAGAAAAGTCCTGCCTTAAATTTACAATAGTTTTAAATGGGTTATCATAATTATGAATTAAAAGATTCAGAAATGGTTACTTGAGGCCTTCTCGGATCTAAATTGAATCAGGGAAAAAATTGAAACTCTTTGAATATTGAACAATTATAAATTAACAAAATTTTATTATGAAATACAACAGCCCCGTCAGGACAAATGGAGGAAAATGTACGCTAGATTGTGACGTATGTATTTGGGTTAATCAACTACACTGATCATTGTTATTAGGTGCAGTACGTTGAAAAGGGATTTGAAAAAAAACAAAATTTCGCTAAGGGGGGGAGGGGGATTTCATTCATGGACTATTTGGGTTATAAAAAGAATTGTAACTTTTTTTTCACCTTAATCATACATGATAAAATGGTAAATGAAGACAACTTCTCATAAATATACAGTGCTCCCCAAAATAAAATGGTAAGTATTAGCGACTTTTCAAAATATCCAGTGCTCCCCAAAATAATATGGAAAATGAAGACAACTTCTTGTAAATATACAGTGCTCCCCCCAAAAAATATAGTAGGAATAGACGACTTCTCTTAAATATTAAGTGCTCTCCAAAATAAAGTGGAAAATAAAGACGACTTGTATTAAATAAACAGTGCTTCCCAAAATTGAATGATAAAGATGGTGGCTTTTGATAAATATACGGTAATACAAGGGTGATGTGAAGACGACTTTTCTTTAATATGCAATCTATTTTTCAAGAAGCACTGTATATTTATGAAAAGTCATCATCACTTACCATATTATTTTGAGGAGCTCTGTATATTTATGAGCAGTCGTCTATGCTTACCATCTTATTTTGGGGAGCACTGTATATTTATAAGAAGTTTTCAATGCTTTTTATTTTATTTTGGGAAGCAATGTAAAGAAAAAGTTACAATTCTTTTTATAACCCAAATAGTCCATCAATAAAATCACCCCCCCCCCTCCACGAAATTTTGGTTTATTTTCAAATCCCTTTTCCGCGTACTGCACCTAATAACAATGATCAGTGTAGTTGATTAACCTAAATACACACGTCAGAATCTAGCGTACATTTTCCTCCATTTGTCCTGACGGGACAACAGCTATACCACAAAACAATAATTTAGGTCATCCTTAGAATAAAACAATTAAAAAAAATCTGCTTTCAACTTTAGACGAAATAAATGTTAACTTAAAAAAATTTATTAAACTTACCCTTATTGTAGATGGATCAAATATTTGACTCCAATGTGAGAAACTTTTATCTACTTCAACCAAAGATCTAAACAAAAACACACAAAAAATTAAAACTTTATGAAAATTAAGGAATCATAACATTATCTGAGACATGCACATTAGATCTAGTCCATTCGTTTTCTGATTAGTTTGTTAGATCTAGTTCTGATTCATATGTTATCAATTCATATGCTAACCAATCCATGTGCCATTTTATCCATATGCTATCCGATGCCTAAGTCATCTGTGGCCGAATTTAAAGAATTTGAGCGGCGGTTTAAATTTAAGCCGCGGCTTAAATATGGTTGATTCCACTTAAAATTGAATCAAATGTTTCAAGATTTAAGCCGGCGCTTAATTTAAACCGGGTTTTGGTAGATTTAAATCGCGGCTCAAATTCTTTAAATTCCATCTCTGATCAATTCATTATTTTAATCTAGAAAGACAACCACTAATATACATACAATGAGAATAGAATATATATTAAAATGAAATTTACTAGAAAAAAGTTTTTGTTGTACTGTTTCCATACTGCAGGTGTACTTCACATATTTGTGCTATATAACCTTTTGGGCCCTGGAATATCATTTTATAGAAAATCTAAAATTAATGTTAAAAGAAAACCAAATTATGAAATAGGCTGGTTTCATAATTGACCAATGATCATTTCACATAGACTCTATGCCTTTCAGTTTACAAAAGATGATATTCCGTTATAACTATAAATCAAATGATGTTTTTTATTCACCTAATTCATTTAATAAAGTTTATTTAAAAGCTTTAAAAAATTCGAAATTGTAATGGATAGTCTAGGGAACATACTGTATTAATGTACTGTACTGCATATAATTTGTGAACATTTACATGATTTGTACACTTTGAACTCCCTTTCAGGCTGAAAGGGACTGACAAAATTCATACCGAGGGATTTACTAAATTCCACTCTAATATATATTCTATTCTCTTTGACTACAGACAAAATAGAAATATTTCTACCTGTTAATTGTATATTTTGGTTCTTCAATCCACTTTGTAACCAACGCTACAGGAGCTGGAAAGGTCATCCTAGAATCTGGGGGTTTTCCAGGTTTGTCGTCTTCTTGAAGTTCTACCTGGATCTAATTTTTAAAAAGTAAAAAATTCACTTTTAACCCCCCCCCCCCCCAGCAACCCATGAAATTTCCAAATAAATTCGCAAGAAGTTAATCATCAACATCCCTACCGCTTTGAATTTTAAAAAATCGATGAAAGTTTTAAAATTTCTTAAATTCATTTGTTTAATTTCCAGAAAATTTTTGTTTAGATAGTTTACCTTTAGGCTTGTACAGCGTGGGACTTCAAGTACTGCAGTAAAGATAGAAGAGTTGAATATGTACCGTATATGATTCTTCTTTACATCCCAAACATGTACAACATACCTGCACATTTAATCATAAACTTTTCAAATATTTCAATTCTTGATTTTCAGAGTATTCTTTTAACATTAAGTAATGTAATCTAAAAACTATAGAATGTTCCCGGCTTGTAAATTTTTCTTAAAATCAAGACTCAAACTGAAAAATTAACAATTCTTGTGTTTACTAAATGTTTGTGTAACCACAACCCCCTCCCTCAGGCTAAGGGGTCGTAAAGACCCCCCCACCCACTCCTTCCATTTATCTAAATACTCCAGCTTTACTACACGATCAAAGGTGTAATGCAAGGAAAGTTAATTGGGGTCGTGTATGCTCTGTGTACATATTGAAACCAGTTCTCTTTGGGCGGAATTGTAAACAAGAATAGATGCATAGGAGGTTAAAAGCATTAAATTTGATCATTTTGATAATTCACATAATAGTTTCCTATGACCAGAATATTTCATTGATTTTTTTATGTGTAAGATGGATCCCATGTCAGGCTGCAAACATCCGTCTTGTGTTTACATTACCGTCCAGAGACAGTACACTGCGGTACAAAAGATGTGTACACTTCTGAAATAACTTTCCTTGCATTACATCCTTGAACACGATAAGGATGTGTTGATAAGACAGGATCACAGGATATAAACGGAGACCTAACAAAGAATAACTTTAGTTGAGAGAGTTGAGACGAAGCCTCTTAGAGAGAGGGACCAACTCCCTTCTGCTTCGGGAAGGAGCTGGTTCAGGAGGGTAACAATATTGGGCCAGAGCTCCATGTCTGAGAGTCCAGGGGGTCAGAGTCCAAGTCACAGAGTCAAGCAGAGCGACCCAATTCAAGAGGGGCAAGATTCCAGCGCCGAGTGTCCGGAGACTTAAAATCTACGAGTCCCAGATCCAGTCTTCAAATCCCCTTTCAGAAGAATTGTAACTCATGTTTCCCATTAATTCTGTTTTAATTCAATAACATCTTAATACATCTTCCTCCTTTATTTGTCGTACAGATTGAAACACACCGATTCTTTATTCTCTTACAGTTTGATTATGCCTAAAGAAAAACCCGCAATTTAACCTCGTGCAGTGTAGTGTGTACAGACTGCAACATGTATAGTTTACACTGCGCCCCCTGGGGCGGACGGCTAGGGGAATAAATATCGACAACTAACATTTATTAGCGCGGAAGATTGCAAAAAAAAACATTAATTTAAAATTTAAAAATTAAACATTTTATTTAAACTAAGTTTAAACTTACATAGTATTCATTTGAAATATTTGAGTTTTTCTATTTTTAAAAATGGCATACCTGTCGACACAGTGGGAATCCTCAATAATATGTGCCCAACTTATGTTTACACTCTTCATGCCAGTCTGCAATCCAAACCAAACCAAATAACAATAAAATCTTAAACAAAGGTGTTCATTATCAATAGTGTAAAGGTTAACTTTTGTAAATGGATAAATTTAGCCCTACAGAAAAAAACTAGAAGATGTACAATGTTTAAATTAATGAAAAATAAAAAATGTCAGTTTTTAATAAAATAAAAATAGAATTCCACATCATCTCGAATTAGAAAGGAAGAATTCATTTGTCGAACTGTCCCGTACAGTACATAACAATTGCCTAAGCTGCCTAAAAATTTGGCCGGTACATGAAATTAGCCGGAGTTTTTAGTGATATGTCTCCTTTTTCCGGGTTATTAAATAACAAGTTTAAACTTACATAAAGATTGGATCATACATAGATCATACATAGTAATAATGGTTAGCACAGCGGGCCCAGTTATCATACATAGTAACAATAGGTTAGCACAGGGGGCCCAGTTATCATACATAGTATTAATGGTTAGCACAGCGGGCCCAGTTATCATACATAGTAACAATAGGTTAGCACAGAGGGCCCAGTTATCATACATAGTAAGAATAGGTTAGCACAGTGGCCCCAGTTATCATACATAGTAATAATGGTTAGCACAGTGGGCCCAGTTATCATACATAGTATTAATGGTTAGCACAGTGGGCCCAGTTATCATACATAGTAAGAATAGGTTAGCACAGTGGCCCCAGTTATCATACATAGTATTAATGGTTAGCACAGTGGCCCCAGTTATCATACATAGTAATAATGGTTAGTACAGTGGCCCCAGTTATCATACATAGTATTAATGGTTAGCACAGTGGGCCCAGTTATCATACATAGTATTAATGGTTAGCACAGTGGGCCCAGTTATCATACATAGTAATAATAGTTAGCACAGTGGGCCCAGTTATCACACATAGTAACAATAGGTATGCACAGTGGGCCCTTGTTTAAGGTTTTGTCCCTGGAATACAGCTGGGGGCTCTGGAGAATTTTCAGGATCATACTTTTTTAATCCAACATATCTAAACAAAATTATTATTAAGGGACTGTAGTCGTAATTTTTCATGATCCTCCATTTATAGAGTGGCATGTTCGATACACAACTGAACCCTTTTAACATTTGACTGATCAAGGATGACTTTGATGTCCCTAGGTGAAAACTGATTATAATCCATTGCAAATTATTTATACAGGGTGTCCCAATAAACATGGGAATTAAGTGACGACTTGAATATCGTCTTTGTTCAGTGCAGTAATACTGCGTGTCACTTGAACATAATTTTATTAGGATTCCAGTTAAAACTGTTGAAAACTAGTCTTGGGAATTCTAAAATGTGGTTTACCATTTTTGCACCTTCAAAATTGACGGAGATATTAAGAAATTTGTCAAGGTTTTTATTTATAAAATACCAACAAAATCTTTCAAATTTGAATATGGAAGGAAGGCAGACCACGTTTTGTAAAGCTCATAAGACGTACACTCTTTTTTTTGATACACTTCATGTCATTTATCAGTGATTAGAAATCAAAGACGATCTTTTTTCTCGTTTCTCAATTCCCAGGTTTACTGGGACACTCTGTAAAATAGACTCGCGGATTTATGCCAAAAAGACAATGTGGGAAAAAGGATGAATCGGACATGGTGCACTCTTTAGATGGAGGGCTACTTGTTGAAATTAAGTCACTGTGAACTAACTTTTACATTTAAGAAACATTTTACAAATTATTAGAAATAATGTAAAAATAATTGTTTTGATTTGAATATAATATTTTGGATGAATCAAAACGCCTACATCATTTTAAAGGCATCGTGCTCAGAAATGATAATAACACGGTCCTTGGTGTAAAATGGTATGAAGAGATTTATTCCCCCCCCTGAAGCCCTTTCCTTTCCAACCCATCATAGCTCCTACAGAGTTACCAAATGTTGAGACTTTAGTAACGACCTGAAACTCTATAGTTGTAACAATCTGAATGTTGAAATTTTTTCTTCTTTTTTAGTGATTTCGCAAAGAGTTTACCGTCATAACAGAGAACCAAGAATTTAAGAAAAAGAATAAGAACATTCCGCCTAGTCGTCTCTGAACATTCTTATCCTTTGTGGGAAACACTAGTGTATATAATTGTGAATCAAACATACCATTCTATAAATAGGGGGTGCCGTAAAATAAGTTTTTTAATAATTTTTCAATATTTCAAAAACTTTCCGAAAACAAAATAACCGCCAGAACAAACTTTTTTGGCGTCAGTAAAAATTGTATGTTTTTTCACACTTACCTCACCATCCAAAATGCGTCAATATAGTGGCAAGCCGAGTACACCAATGTTGGAAAATACAGAAAGAAAAGATAAAAAATCATCTCGCGTCAGCTCACATGGAGGAGAAAACTAAAACTGTTTCACATTTTTTAATTCTGCGTGGATCAGCAAAATTAGAGATTCTTCAAACTTTCTAATTAAACGTCAAGGCTTTCATTTTTACTTTTTTATTTATTTATTTTTATATATTTCGATCTTCAATTTTTATTTCATTGATCTTTCCTCTTTCTTATTAGATTTTAATAATTCACTTTTATTTCTTTATTTCTTTTTTCTCTTTCCCCTCCTCAAATGTCTCCTAAATCTATATAATAAAACAAAACTCTCCTAAATCTATATAATAAAACAAGACTCTCCTAAATCTATATAATAAAACAAAATCTCCAAAATCTATATAATAAAACAAAACTCTCCTAAATCTATATATTAAAACAAGACTCTCCTAAATCTATATAATAAAACAAAACTCTCCGAAATCTATATAATAAAACAAGACTCTCCTAAATCTATATAATAAAACAAAACTCGCCTAAATCTATATAATAAAACAATACATTCGTATATATATATGTTGCCTATAGCCGGCCAATCGGCTGGACCGATTGGGCTGAATTTTTTTATGGACACTCATACTCATGGGTGGGCGGGAATTGTCATAGGCTAAAAAAAATTTGAACTGTTTTTAAAAATATTTTTTCAAATTTTTTGACATTTTTTTATTCCACGGGCAACGCTGTGCCCTTCAGTTAGTTTATATATATTGTTCAATTTTTTTAATTTATTTTTCTTATTTCTCTATTACTCTTATATTTCACGTATTTTTCCTTGTTCATATTTCTCTCACTATTTACCATTTTCCAAGATTTCTTATCTGTTTCCTTTTTCCTGTTTCATGTTTCTCATTTTTTCTCATTTCACATAGAAATCATTAGTTGACATAGGTTTTTATAATATTTACAAATATCACATATGATGTTATTTTTCTTTAATCATGTATAAAAAAGTTGCTTGTAAAGCATACCAATACAAAACTTATAAAATATTACTAGAGAAAGAGGGGCGCGAAGCTCACTGAACGCTTCACTATAGACAGAAGGCGAAGGTAAAATTTAAATAACATTACTGGTACTACCTTGTGACCTCGTAGCTTCTCTAGATTTAAGTTTACGGATAAGTAAGAGAAAAACTAAATTATTTGAATACCAACATACAGAAATTTAAAACTTTTTTCTTCTTTTCAAATATTTTTTGCTCTTCAGTATGAGGAATTAAGATTAACAACTTTCAAGATGATAATGTTACGCTAAGTTTAACCCCCTATCTTNGGATTGAATAGTCAACCAAGTTGGGCTGGAGCTCAATCCCAGGCTCAAGCTCTAGGAGGCGGAGGATTAGCTGGAGCTCAATCCCAGGCTCAAGCTCTAGGTGGCATAAAGTCTCCTTCAAAATTCTGAGATGATGACAATGATGAAAATTTTTGGCTTAATAAGTTTGCTTTAATTACATTGTGCAACATATTTTTACTCAGGCAAATAAACCAAAACAATTTTATAAATTGTTTTCATTTTTCATTTTGTCAGAAAAAATATTTTACACAAAGTGTTAAAAGTAAATTTTAGAGTACATAATTAAAACTTATGGTAAACATTTCAAATTCTAAAAAGTAAAAATACCTTGAATGTTTAAAACGCATATAAAACTCTGACCATAGTCCATCTTTAATGGGTCTATTCTCTACTCCTACCCTCTACCCTCCACCCTCCACCATATCCAATATTCTTCGGTGTCTTTGAGACGGTTCCAGTGACGTCACTGCTCAAGTTGACCGACCGAGTCAAATATTTAGATTAGCACAATCAGAGCACCAGCACACATAGTGTTCAGTACTGCTCCTATTGTGCATATGAACAGATATATTCTAATTTAAGACAATTGTGGTAAAATTGCCGCAAATTTAAGCTTGTAACACGTTCCGTACATCATACTGTACGAACTGTACTATAGGAATTGAACTGGAGCTGACATAACACATGTACATCAAGACATTTATGAAGATAATCAAGATTTCATTTAAGACTCAAGAAGGACTGAGGATACAAAAAAACACAGGATACAAAATACTCTGAGATACTGAGGATACACAATACAAAGATGAAAAAGATAGATAATACAAAGATAGAAAAGGATACACAATACAAAGATATACTGTGGATACAGAACAAATAGAACACACAAATAAACCCACATGATATCTCCTCTAAATTAGGTAAGATTAATCAAAACGTTTATCTGAATTGAAATTTAAAGTTTTAACTAAACGAGAAGTAATAAAAACCAAATGAGAATGATTTACTAAATTTTTAATCCTTTTTCATTCATCATAACTTTTTAAAAAACATTTTTCCAAGATTTTCGGTTCTTAAAGTTAAAAACATTAAAAATACAACAATCTTGTTTTCAGGAGGCGTTCTACTGTAATAATGCTGAGAACCTATACGTTCTGGTTCATTTTAATCTTGGCAAACCATGCTCTTGCCTTTCCCAGATATAATGGAGCTGCTTGGACTCCAGCTCTAGCTCAAGCTGGAGCTCAATCCCAGTCTCAAGCTCTAGGAGGCAGAGGATCAGCTGGAGCTCAATCCCAAGCTCAAGCTCTAGGAGGTGGAGGATCAGCTGGAGCTCAATCCCAGGCTCAAGCTCTAGGAGGCGGAGGATCAGCTGGAGCTCAATCCCAGTCTCAAGCTCTAGGAGGCGGAGGTCCCAGTCTCAAGCTCTAGGAGGCGGAGGATTAGCTGGAGCTCAATCCCAGGCTCAAGCTCTAGGAGGTGGAGGATCAGCTGGAGCTCAATCCCAGTCTCAAGCTTTAGGAGGCGGAGGATCAGCTGGAGCTCAATCCCAGTCTCAAGCTCTAGGAGGCGGAGGATTAGCTGGAGCTCAATCCCAAGCTCAAGCTCTAGGAGGCGGAGGATTAGCTGGAGCTCAATCCCAAGCTCAAGCTCTAGGAGGCGGAGGATCAGCTGGAGCTCAATCACAGTCTCAAGCTTTAGGAGGGGGAGGATCATCTGGAGCTCAATCCCAAGCTCAAGCTCTAGGAGGGGGAGGATCAGCTGGAGCTCAATCCCAGGCTCACGCTCTAGGAGGTGGAGGATCAGCTGGAGCTCAATCCCAGGCTCAAGCTCTAGGAGGCGGAGGATTAGCTGGAGCTCAATCCCAGGCTCAAGCTCTAGGAGGTGGAGGATTAGCTGGAGCTCAATCCCAGTCGCAAGCTTTAGGAGGCGGAGGATCAGCTGGAGCTCAATCCCAGTCACAAGCTCTAGGAGGCGGAGGATTATCTGGAGCTCAATCCCAGGCTCAAGCTCTAGGTGGTGGAGGATCAGCTGGAGCTCAATCCCAGGCTCAAGCTCTAGGAGGCGGAGGATCAGCGGGATATCCGGCAGATGATGATGATGATGATCTTTGTCACGGTCGTGGTTGCTTTCATGATCATGGCCATGGACAAGGTTATCATGGACATGGTCTTCATGGATATGGTCATCATGGATATGGTCAACATGGATATGGTCATCATGGACATGGTCATCATGGATATGGTCATCATGGACATCACCATGAACTTGATGGTTATGAAGAAGATCAACCTGATTTTGAACTTGAAGACCCAATCTCTGATCTTATAGATATCGATGAATGGTGAAAAAAATCAATGAATAAGAAACATTTGATTTTTTTTATAAATGAATGCGCTGTTGTCTTTGCTCGATTTAATTGTACTTAAATATCTCTAAATTCTCAAATTGATAAATAATAATTTACTATCTGTTATCTTTATTTCAATAATTTTATCAAACGCCCTACAGTCTCATAAATGTAAATATATCTGTGTACTAAAATATATGATTAAACATGGAGAACTAAAATCTATAATAGAGAACTAAAATGCAAACATATCCGAGAATTTATGATAGAATGAGTTAATAGATAGACAAAATATAAAGTGAAAGTCATTTTAATGGAAAAATATATAATATTTTTCATGCTGGTAAAGAATGTCCAACATGAAACACAGTGTCCAGCAATAACCAATGTTAATAAACAATAGAACATGTTCTAGACTTATTTTAAGAAGATTTAATTTTTTTCTTTATTGTTTTTATCTTTGATAAGATGAAATTTATATTTCCTTTAATCTTTTTAAAAATCCACCTTTCCAAATTCCAGATTTAAGAACAAACTGAAAAGACAAGAAAACGAGGTATTTTTCACTTTTTTAAAATTTTTGAAAACTTCTTTTCCTGTAATTTCAGAAAATCTATAATATTAATTTTTATATTATTTAAAGGTTGTTTATGCCGAGATTCTTTTTGGAATAAGCAAATATAGAAATTTAAAGATGACAGGAAGGATCAGAAATCAGAAGTATTGGAAATAAGATCAGGAAGGATTGGATATCAAGAAGGATAGGAAATAAGATCAGGAAGGATTGGATATCAAGAAGGATTGGAAATAAAATCAGGAAGGATTGGATATCAAGAAGGATTGGAAATAAGATCAGGAAGGATTGGATATCAAGAAGGATTGGAAAAAGATCAGGAAGGATTGGATATTAAGAATGGTTAAAGATCAGAAAGGATTAGATATCGGGAAGGATTACATCAAGAAAACTGATTAGAATCCAAATCTTGGAGTTAAAGTCTCATTTAAAGATTTTGTCTCCTCTGTCCCCCAAATCTTTTCCTCAAACCTAGAGAACAAAAGTATTTAAAAAATGGTCACCCTTTACACATTATAAAATTGTAGCCGTAAAAAAAATTTATTGTAAAAATGAGTTATACCAATTTGTGAAGCATATGAATTCTGACATTATGTTTAGCGCTGTAACCCTCTTTTACTATATGGTCAGAATATACATCAATGCCAAA